ATCGCCCTGGCCCGCGGCCTCATCCTAGCGAAATTGCTCAAAACTTATTTCTAAAATTTGAGCATGTCTTTACATTTTTCAGCGTGTTTTGAACAAAAATTTGATATAAATAAAACACCGAAAAATTAGCCAGGGTTCTTAGCTAATACTGTTTTATGGATATCGGAATTTTTGTCGATTTTAGGCATTTTCTACGTAAAAAAAACCCTAGTAAGGCCGTCAAATTGATTTTCACGATTTTCGCACTAAAGACAGTCTAAGATTATGTGTTTTTAAATGCATATATGGTTCTATTCTTTTGGAATTTGTGCATTTGCGATTTTCCCACCATTTTCCTGTCAAAAACCTACAAAAAAAATCAGTTAGTTGATATTTACGGTTTGGTTCATAAATACGCTCTGTTGACCCTATTTTTAGTTTTTACTTTAACTTATTGCGTTTCAAATTTGCCTACTTAACGCTTTTTTACACTATTTCCCTACAAAAAAAACATACGAAAAACGAAAACTTACGACTTCAATAAATTTATTTTTTGGGCTCGGATTCCAGATTTTACGGTTTTGGCTCCGCCTTCCGATTTTACAAACCCTTTAACCCTCGCTGGAAACAAATCCATTTACAAGCGGACGGCTACAGCCCGGGTTCCATTACATTCCGGCTAGACAGCCCGGCAGCCGGTGGTAAACAACCCGCCCTACCGGGTCAAAAACCTGAAAAACCAATCCCTAAATGCGACACAAACATCTATCCAATTCGGCGAATAATTCCGCGCGCCAACTCATGACTCTAATTTTGGGTCCGGCTGCCTGTGATTTGGATTGGCCCCGGCGGGACGGCTGTAATTTGGAGCTACGCGTTTTTGCCCCCGTACGGCCCCCGCGGCTATAGTCACCTGGCCCCCCACGGTGGCCTCATAACTTTCATTTTGGCCGGTACAATTTTTCTATTGATTTGTCTGAACTGGTAAGATTTGTCATACATTAAATAGGCTCCTATTAATGTGATAATCGGCCTGGATTACGGTATTAAAGGGACAAGCAAGGAAAGCAGGGCCATGTATTTTCCTGGGCTATCAATTTTCCATAGGGTTCTTGATGAATACCTTTATATTCCGCTGCGACACGCAACGCGCGCGCCTTGAAACGACCGCGACGCGTGAAAAGATCGTAATCCGTTACGCCATGAAATTTGGCGCACGCGCTATGCGCAACGCACGACGCTAGACCGATCACGCGATGAAAGGCATGCGCGCGTTGCGTGTCGCGGTCATCAGCGCGGAAAATAATGCAGAAATCCAGCCTAGAAAAGCGCCGCTGCAGCGCGTAAAAACGCGTAACCCATTACGCAATGAAAAGCGTGCGTGCGCGTTGCGTGTCGCGGCCACCAGCGCGGTAAAAAATTTGCGGGAATCTATAGAATAAAAACCGGAATCCAGAAATCCATAACGATTTCTTCGATGTCCCTTTAATACGGCAAAAATACCAAGATTACGGTATTACACCAAATACCATTGGGAACAAGTGCACAAACGAGTTGTTATCTAACAGCTTCACTTCACTCCAAATTCCGATTTCAGACGTCGTCTGGGCCGGCCGTCGTCTCGACTACGGTATCCTCTCCACTGTCTGACGACGATCCGGGCGGCCATCCCGGCTGCTCAGCCGCCATCATTCACGTCAGTTTCAATTTTCTGATCGAATGGATTTTTCTTATTGCCTCTAATATCGCCCCCCCCCCTATATAGCGTCCAAAGATTAAAAATTGCGTTTGGCATTCAAAAAATGCGAAAAATTGCTCACAAGAAGGAGCGGTCTGAACTGCCAAAAATCGTGATAATTGTTCAAAATCGGGTTTTTCGGTCGCCACGGTCTAGACAATTACGCGACACGCCAAACCACGCGGTACGTTCGTTTTGGATGCGCTTCAACGTCACGGCCTTCCGGATAGCAAAATGGGAACTGAAAGTGGTTTGGAGTGACGCGTAGCCGTAGGCCTAAGGGAATTGAAAAGGTCGGTTCCGCCGTTCTTCAGATGAGCAAAACCAGGGAGTGGTCGCATAGGTCTGTACGCCGATAGGCGCCTACGTAGCTATGTAAGACCGTAAGGAGCAGGAGCACTTTAATTACGTCTTTTGTACTATTCGTACTACTGTTCAATACCTTCCGGAAGGACACTATACGTGGGTTCTGCAAGACTTTCGTTCCTCCGAACAGTCACAGGAATCATTCCTGTCGATCCCCCACACTCTCTCTCGCTCTCTCTCCCTCTCTCTCTCTCCAGCTCTCTCTCTCTCTCTCCAGGCGCGAAAACATGATTATGCCATTATAGCCGACGAACGAACAGAAAGAAGAAAAATTATTAAAAAGGTCCCCCTCAGCGCGGGAATAATGTATGAGGTCTCTCAAAGGCAGAGTCAGCCCTTTGGCCTCTCCAATCCAATTTCAGGCGCCCCCCTAATTTCTGTAATTTCTGCTTTGTAACACCCCCGAGAGATAGAGAGAGAGAGAGAGAGAGAGAGAGAGAGCAAGAGAGAGAGAGCCGTTCTTTGTCGTAAGCCGGAAACCACGGGGGTCACCCTGAACTTTTATTTCAGCCCCCTTACCCCTGGTTTATGAGTAATAACCCCCAGATTAGAGGGTGCTGTGGTTCCGTTGGGATACTATTTACGTACGTAGCTACGTACGCACGGAGTGGGTTTAGTGGTATTGAGGTTTTGTGGTCTGTAGTCTGGAGTTCGACAATTTGCTGACTTACAGGGTCATATTCGGTCGTATTCGGTTAGGGCAGTACTAAATTTTCGAAAATGCGCTTTTGACTGTTTTAAAGGAACATTCAAGACAAAAGTACGGCCTGGTCGGATTAGAATTTCATAGCATAATCGATGCTTTGCTGGCATTATAATTTTTTATATGAACTGTAGACTTCATCTTCCCTTTAAAACTACAAAAATTTGACCTGTTTGGAGAATTTTCAATTTTTCGATGGTTTTCTATATTTAGGGCAAGTCGTAGTTTGTAGTCAAGATCAAATCAGCACGTTTTTAAATGTGTGAACTAATCATATGAATGAATTTTGCATGTAAAAAAATCTTTATATTGCCCTGTAAAGATTTCTTTTTATAGTGCTCGGTATTTCCCTAGGGAGTATCGTCAAAGACAATTAAAAGTATATAGAGATATTCTTGTTATATTTTTATGGTTGAATGACTAGTCCTGCGTCACGATCGAGAAAAACAAAAATAATACTATGCTAAAAATAGCGAATTGTAAGCTGACAAATCATGTAATGTCGAGACTTTCAAGATCGGACTAGAAATCGCGATTTAGCAAAACTCTCAAAATTTAAGCTTCTCAGCAACAAGATATACAAAAATAGCACTTTTTCAGCCGTTATTAGATGTATTTCGTAATCTCTGAGATTCTAGCAATCAGAATATTTGCAGAAAGCGATTGACTTGGGTGTTCGTTTAATTTCCGTGTGACCAGCCGGTGTCTTTTTGTTCATCTGTAAGTCTGTCTGATCGCCTCTCTCTCTCCCTCTCTCTCTCTCTCTCTCCCTCTCTCTGTCTTTCTCTCTCGCTCTTTCCCGGTAATGCCAATTTTTATGGTCAAATTACCAGGTACAGGTGTGTCCGGGACCCAGCCCCTCCACTCGAGACCCCCCACACACATTTCATTACCAAATCGATTCACGCTACGGGACCCCCTGGGGACATTTTACTGCGTTGATATTTGTCAGCCGGAACCAAATCTTAGTAATCAGAGGATTCCGAATAACAACTGGGAGTACAGTACTCGAAAGTACACGAAGTGTTAATTTTTGCCGGTTTTTACTTGGAGTTTTTTTCAAGGGAGTGAAACCGATTCCTTATTTTATATAAATTTCTCTCTCTCACTCTCTCTCTCTCTCTCTCTCTCTCTCCAATTCTTAATAGTTCTTAGAGTGTGACCGCCTGACGATTTTTTTGCTGTCACCGTCCCTTTAATTTAAAATTTCTTGGGATTTCAATAGTTTTTCGTATTTCAAAAGGGTATCCCAGCAAAATCGAGTGTTTTATTATTGGAGTCGCCGCCCTAATTTCCCAGTTTTTACGGATTGTTTTTTTAGGTTTTCCTGGTTTAAGGGGGGAGTAACAGCAATATTTTAGCCACTTGACAATTTCCATACATTTTGTAAGTTTTAATTTTATATCCTTTGCTCTAAAGGTATAAATCATTTCAGGCACTACGCCGTTGTTTCCCGCGTCGGGACGGCGAGGGCACGAAGGCGGAACATAAAAAACACAACAAGCTCCACCACTCGGGCAAGAATCTTGTCGGTAAGTGGTAAACAATATCGGAATCTCCGAAAAATCACTGCTAGTTTGCCAGCCGTAGTTGGCACATTACGGTATATATTCTAGTGGTCGACGTCTCGTCCACCCATTCGGGTGCGGGCCCGCCGACGGGGTGTGCCGCGCGGCTGCTCGGGTTCGTCGGCAACGGGTTCAGGTAAGGACATTATTGAATCGGGGGGGCTATTTTTGGCTTGGCGGCGGTCCCTTCAAAATTTTCCGCAGCGGCGATACGCCACGCGTAGCCACCTTTTTTGTCGCGTAATTTCTTAGGCATGTTCACGGTATTAAGCGGCACGGTCGCGTTGTATGTCGCGCACATGGAAAATGTCATAAGAAAGCTCTGATTGGCTGACTATGGAGGGCCTATGAATTTTGCCACGATTGCGATACGCAACGCGCGGCGAGCTCCTCTTGCGTGTCGCGGTGCCGACAACCTCGATGGGAAATCCGCGATTGGTTGACCATGCGGTCCCTAAGGATTTTCCACGTCTGCGACACGCGACGCGCTCGTAGTACGGCCGCCATAATATAGGTGGTAATCGATTACGCCCTGGAATGGTGCTCGCGTTGCGTGTCGCGGTCGCGGCAAATCCAATCCGTAGCTGGCCTATGCCTTCACCATCCTTTTAATTTTGGCTTTTCCAGGTGTCGTTTTGGTCGCGTAATGGGTTCGGCAGCCTCTTCATCTTCATCCCCGGAACCTGATGAGAGCATCTCGATCGCCGACCGCATCAACATTTTCTTGGGCCAGAAACCGCTCCGCATGACGAATATGCTGAAAGTGGCCAGGTACACCTTTTCTGGAGGCCCGGAGACACTGAAATTAGGATGATCTCGGACTGTACGTGCGAGGAGAAGCTGCAGATATTCGACGCTGGCATCGTGCACAACATTTGCGACATGATTGCACAGTGTGGGGCTGTCGAGACGGGTTATGTACAGAGGTGTGTAGTGTAGTTGGAGAGAGAGCGAGAGAGAGAGAGAGAGAGAGAGAGAGAGAGAGAGAGAGAGAGATAGAGAGAGAAGGCGTTATCAAAAACATCGCTTTTAGGGTGATGGATCGACAAGATTCTGCTGGTGACGGCAGAAAACGACGACCTCGCCGGAATTCAGCCGGAAACACGGCGCACAAGGGCGTCGGGTACGGCCACGGATCGACGCGTAGCCGATGGGATATTGAGAGAACGGTAAGTGTCAACCTCAATAGGCTTTTAAAGTGGCGGAAACGCCGCGAAATCCCTGCCAGGGTGAAACTTTCCGCTTTTTTGGAAAGCCTAAAGCCTCGTCTTCCAGGTAGAGGAACGTCTGGCCCGAGAGGAGCACCTCATCTGGTTATTATCATGCCTGACCGCGTACATTTACACAATTTCCCCAGATTTTTCGGAAGATCAGATTGAGAAGGTAAGCAAAATGACCTCTTCCACTTATGCTCTTTTTTTGTAGTTTGTGGAGCACGACCACCTGACGCCGCCCGTCGTGAAATTGCTCGGTGAATCGGCAGTCGTTCCGCTTTTGGAGTATCACCTGAAGAATGACAGTGTTTTTGACGTTTCCGAGCATATGGAAATATATCAGGTAAGTACGGCTCAGTGAAAATTAGGCTTAGGCTTAGGCTCAGGCTTAAGCTTAGGCATAGGCTTGGCTGAGGCTTAGCTTAAATATAGGCTTGGCTTAGGCTTCGTTAGGCAAAGCTTCAACTGACGTACTTTACCTGTACCTTTAGGGCCTCCTCGAGACCGCAGCCGCGATGGCTACCGTACCCTCCTTGGTACCGTACCTTGTCAAGCCGTACGCACCAACGGCCAAATCCGTTGCCAAGCACCTGGTGCCCAAGTTCAAGGAGATCATGTCCGCATATCCGAACGTTCTCAAGGGCCAAATGGGATCACCGGATTTTCGGTTAATCGACTTTATCCATAAGGTGAGCCAGAAACATCGAGAGAAAAAGCAAGCTAGCTGAGTTTCTTTAGAAAATCATATTCTGAAAATCAGAAAAATCCTGAAAAACTAGTTAAATTCTTTCAATTCAATATAGAAACATAAGCAATAATTAATTCTAGACGGAACGCTACGCCGAAGTTGTCCTGAACGCTTCGCGCGAGTACGAAACACACCTCCCGCCGGAGGAGCGGATACGCACGGCCAGTACGGCAAGGCCGAGGACCACGCATAGCGAGGTAAGTCTCCGGAAAAACTTTAAACATTTATGTCTACGAACTACAAATATGGTTTCATCAAAATGGCAAAACCCATTAAAGCCTACTTTTAAAGGTTTCCCTCAATCGGCGTTCCTTTGATCTATCGGAAGAGCGCGTCGACCCGTCATCAGATATCAGTCTGCTATATGGAAAAGCGCTGAAACACCTCCAGATGCAAACGTATCGGTGCGTAGCTTCATTTTACGCATGCAAACTCAAAAAAAAATTATTAAAAGTAAAAAAGATCGACTTTTCGATTAACTTTTTTCCAATTGAGATAGATTTTCACGAAAATTTTTAAATTTCGAACATTTCTAAGTCCTATTCATAGTTTTTCCGCTCCAAGTCTGGCTAGATTTAATCAAAAAACACTATGAAAATCTCTCTTTATGCTACCAAAGCTAGAAAAAGCTAATTCTTCACTAAAAAATCGCGTATTTATACCAAATTTTCAGCTTTTAGGCATTTTCTAAGATTTTTAAATAGCTTTTACACTTAAAGTTGCAAAATTTTCATGCGAAAGTATTAAAATACTGGCTATTCAATTCCTTAGGTATATTTGACCTTATAGAAAAACAATTTAACGTTTATCGGGTCATTATAGATATTTTGTTGCTTTTCCAGGTTCATCGGCGACTACGGGAAACTCGTGGTCCCATTTTCTTTCAAGAAAGAGGCGAGAAACGTCAATCCATTCTCACCTGCCTTGAAAGGTAGATTACGACTTTATAAGCTAAAATAATAAAAATAATATTTAGAACGAACAAAGCGGATCGCCAAGGAATTGGCGTCAATGCCGCAGGCGCTCCCGCTCAACGCAAGCAATAGTATTTACGTCTGCGTCGACGAGGGAAGGTGTGATATTATTAAGGTAAGTGTTAAAAATGCTAAGATACAAAATTAACCTACAAATCTGTCGAATTCATTAAAAACTCGGTTTTTAGGTGCTAATCTCCGGCCCCGATGACACACCCTACCAGAACGGGCTCTTCGAGTTTGATGTGTTTTTCCCGACAAGGCATGGATTTTTCGAAATTTCTACGTTTTAAAAAGCATAAAAAAACGCTACATGTCTAGATTTATATAATTTTAACAGAAAAATACGTTTATTAACCCACTTTTATCTTTCAGCTACCCCTTCTCCCCGCCGAAATGTGCCTTCTTGACGACCGGCTCCGGGAACGTGCGCTTCAACCCGAATTTGTATAACGATGGCAAGGTAGGTATAAGGCACTTTTGGAGCTGTAACTCATATTATAAAGCAATGGTAGTATTTAATAACCGAATAACATCCCTTAAGATAAAAAATTTAGTTATTTTCGTAATGTTGGGAAAAGGTTGATTTTTGGACGAATTTTTACGCTAAAACTTTTGAAAACCAAGTCTAAACCAGCGTCGGACGATTTTTTGCCCTAAAATAGCTTTGCCAGGATTGCTAACGACACTGTAACACGTTAAGGCATTAAAATATTGACTATTTTTGCCATTTTAGGGCTGAAAAGTTGTCTTTTAGTTGATTTTTTGTCTATAAACTTTTGAAAACAAGTAAAAAATAGGTTTTAATGATGTTTTCGATGATGTTTTGAAAGCTACAACTTACATACGACAAAGCAAACTTTATTACAGATCTGCCTCTCCATCCTCGGCACCTGGGAGGGCAGACCGGAAGAAAAGTGGAATCCCTACTGCTCGTTGCTGCAGGTGTTGATCAGCATTCAGGTAACCGCTTAAAAAAACCCTATTAAACAAATCAAACTTAACTTACAATTCAATTCCAGGGCCTCATCTTCGTGAAGGAGCCGTACTTCAACGAGCCGGGCTTTGAGAAATACCAGGGCACCGAGAAGGGCGAGGACTACTCACGGAAGTATAACCTCCAGATCGAGCACGCCACGTTGACATATGCAATCAGGGACCAGATGAGGAACGGACCGGAGTATTTTAAGGTAAGTAAAAGCCGGGAAGCTTTATTACATAATTAAGGGGCTCAAACAGTAAAAGCAAGCCTTTAAAAACATTATATTGTATCAAAACTAAAAAATGCTAACATGCTAAACAGAATGAAACAGTACCTAGATTAATTAAACCTTTCCAGAACGTCATCCAGCGCCACTTTTGGCTGAAACGGCACACCATCATCGAGCAGGCCAAGACGTGGCTCGCCGAGATGCGCAAAGACGCCCTCGAGGCCGAGCGCAACCCGAAGCGCAAGGATTCGGTGTCGTTCGACACCATGTACAACCCGTTCAACCAGGTTGGTGATGTCGAAAATTAGATTTTAGGGCTTCTGCTCGCCAAAAACTAGCACAAATTCCATCTAAAGGTCCAAAAACCAAAAAGCAGCTATATCGCGCAAAAAAATTGAATCGAGCGTTCCACGCCTCAAACAGTTTGTAAAATTTAAAAAAAAACCCTGCGAAGGCCTAGATGGATAAAAAACTTAAAAATAAACCGGTTCCCCACACGGAAGTGCTTTACGCCGCAAAAATGCTGCAAGCTCCACGAAAATCTATAAAACGTAAATATAAAGTTTAAATCGTAAAAATTACCACAAAATTTACAGGAACGCGTCATCCACAGTCTCATCAACGAGCTGCAGACGATGACATGCCCAGTGGACCAATGTGAGTTTTTTAAGGCTAAAAATAAGCCAAAAATAGCTTTTTAAATATAAAATAAATCAATACTACACCTCATTCAACTCTTCTTATAATTTTTAGCCTACAAAACAAAGTAGCGATGTGTTGAAAAACACAAAAATATATCAGCTTAATCGATTAATCTATTTAATTTAGTTTTCTTGTTGTTTTACGCCTACAAAACAAAGCAAAGATGGGTTTAGAAATAGAAAATCTTGGGTTATTCAATCTAATCTAACTTTTCTTATAACTAAAAGCCCGAAAACAAGTGGACTGCTAGTTTTAAAAAACTTAAAAACTGTAAAAACCTGATTCTACCTTTCAGATGTATAAAACAACTGCACACGCCCAAAATCACCTCGTCGCCCCACCCCCGAAATGTGATCCGAAACCATGAAAAACTATGGGTATAACTATGGATGTTGTGAAAAGATGGATGGAGACACTCGGCTCAACAATACAAACACAATGCAAATTCCTATATATGGGCTATGTATCTACCATCATTCCGCCGTTGATGCTAAAAGGGCGTTGAAGATCGTTAACTTCATTTTGAAATCGAATTAAATTAAATTTTAACTTGAGATACAAAAGTATTAACCTAATTCGATACCTTCAACGCCCCTTTATAGCAAAATTTTCGCTCGAGCTTTCACACCTCGATCATCTCTTGCCGCCAACTGGGTAGCTTGCCTTTGACACACATGCGAGACAGTGCATTTCCAAATACTGTGAACGTTTTTGCCGGTACTTTAGCGTTATCGGGGGGGGGGCTATAAATCGACTAAAAATTTGAAAATTTGGACGAAAAATCGATCCTTCATCAAAAATTTTTAAATCTTTACGCTTTACAAAATTAAAAACAACTCGAATACATTCTTCTTCTACTTTCAGTAGAAAATATCAAACCCAACGAAAAGCTGCATGGTCAAACTACATTTCAAGCGGAAAAGCTATCTACAAGCTTCTAAAAGCTTCTATTCTTGCTAAAAATTTGTAATTTGCCCTGTTTTTTCATAATTAAAAAAACTAAGAAACATCTTCATTTATATTAAAAAAATCGAAACTACGTAAAAAGTCGAAATCCCCCCGATAACGCTAAGGTACCGTTTTCCATTTTTTTTCCTCCGCCGTCCCTTTCCACGTAATTTCACGCCGCGTGTACACACACTTTATCACCGTGTTTTTCATCTGTTCTCTCGTTCTCTGGATACCTGTAAATAAAGTTGAATGAAAAGTCAGCAGCGGGCTGGTGGTGGGGGGCAAAATGAGATCATCATCACAAATCGAGGGTACAGAGAGGGATATGGGGGCAAAAATTTAGGGTACAAACTTTAGAAGACGAGATTGGACACTTGAGGACTATAAAAGTCAAAGTCACGGGTGTAATTTTGTAACTGGATTGAGGTAAATTTAGGATATCAACGCTAGAAAATGACATTCAGCACGTGGGGATCGTCGCGGTAAATCGGGTACAAACATTATAAAACGGGTAAAATGGCATTCAGCACATGAAAAAGTCAACCGGGGGACAATGAAATAACAAAAACAACAACGAGGAATGGCGGCTTTTTAGAACTTGGATCGCTTCGACGCGGGACCATCGCCGGGAGCCTGGAATAAAGAAATTAGGACCGATTTTCGAAAAATCCGGCTCTTTCGCATCATAAGGGGCAAAATTTTTCAATAACATCCAATATTTCTACTCATAATATAAATAATAGAAGTGTTGCTACGCAGTTTTTCCTATTACTAAACAAAAAATTTTTTAAATCAAACCGCAAAAGATTAAACCTCAATTGTACGTCCAAAATTGTCCGCTTTTAATAAAGTTGAAATTTTCGCAAAATTTTTTAAGTTTTCTAATAATAGTTTTACACCTGAAATTTGGCCACATTTTACAAAAAGACTAGTAAAAGACGTTCTATTGCGTTGCTATGTAAATGTGGTCCTATAATAAAAAATTGGGTTCCCTCAGGGCAATACTAAAAGCGGAAAGCTCATAGAAACTGACCGAGAACCCAGCGAGCAGATCGTCCAAATCGCCGGCGCCAACGGGAGCCGTCCACTCCTCCGACGCGCCAAACGCCTCATTGCCCTCGTGCATTATCGGCTCGCCGGCGGCCACCGGGGGCAGTTTCGTGGTGTTGCTGCTGCCTAAAGCCAACATTATAAACATTTCAAAACATCAAAAAAAAAATTATTAAAACGCAAATGAGCAATTTTTTGTCTATAGCAAGATTTAATGCCAAACACAACTAGTAAAATAGCGCTTCCAAAGGTAAAATAAACAGTTTTACTACTAACAAAACGTTAACGATTTCAAAAAGTCAAAACAAACATAGAAAAATGACTCAGCGGAAATTTTGAACGTGCCAAAATTTTGATCATAGCTAAATTTAACGATTTCCAAGCATGACTAGCCGAAAAAGCCATTAAAAAAGAGATGTATTCAGTCCCACCAAAACTCTAAGCATGTAAAAAACTACAAACCTATGTTTGTAGCGACCCCAGGCAACGCTCCGACCCCGTCGACGACAAATCCGAGGTCCCCGAATTCTTCTTCCTCCTGCGAACTCAACGAGATCTCGCCGCTTTGGTTGCTGACGTCACTAAAAAGGAATTTTCCAGCAATCAGCTTTGCCTTACGTCAAATAGAAAGCCGTCCCGACATCGGCTCCCTGATCTTCGGCCAGCAGCGCGTTGAGATTTCGGATGCCGAGCCATTTGCAGAATTTCTCGCTCTGCGGATTGCGGTAGTATTGGCTGGGGCCGTCGTTTTTACTAAAAAAGAGTGAATTAACGAGAAAAGAGCGATTTCTAACCGTATCTGCACATCCTGATGCTTCAACGGAGGCGCCGTGTGCAGAAATGTGGACGAGACGCTCAGATCGCCGAGCTCACGCACCGCCGCCAGCTCTTCGTCAGTCGGCCGGAAGTCCCAGCGCTCATTCTAAAACTCGGAAATAGGGAAATAAAATTCTCGTTAAGAAAGAAGATATAACTAGATTTCAACTAGCAAAATATCTCAAGACTTTAGCTGCGAAAAGGTCCAAATTTTAGCCAAAAAGGGTTTTTTAACGAAAAATCCATATTTTTATAGTGTTTCCGTTTAGCAGCACTTTCGCTATTTATATTTGAAAAAGAGGACGAGAAAAAAGTTGCCCCACCCCCCGATAATGCGCAAGAACCTAAATTTTGATCAAAATTTCACTTTTGAACCCAGTTTTCTAGGAAAAATTCTAAAAGTAGCAAAAAACACTTGAATCGAATCAAACTTGTATGAAAAAGACTTTAAAATGCGTGTCGGTGCTACGCGTGTTTGGATTTTTCGAAAAAACAATCGCCAAAACGCACCGACACCTTCGATGGCAGGTAGCAGGCCTGGGCGGAGACCTCCGTGAACTTGTCGGTGCTTCTGAGGATGGCCAGCCAGTCGGTGTCGTGTTCGAGTGTTAGCGGCGCGTCCTCATCCACTTCAATGTCGAGAATCTAAAGAGTGAAAATGAAATACCCAAAAATCTGTGTTTACCTGCAAAAAGTGGCGCCTTGGAATTGGCTTGTCGAGCGCGAGGAATTTCGTCGGCTCGACGCCGTCCAGCTCGTGCGGGATCAGGGCCGGGAACTTGCAGTGGAGATGGGCGGCGAACCAGTGCTTCGGGCGGAGCTCTTGGAGCAGCTGCAGGGTGGCCGCGTTGCCCAGGCGGTTGTATTTGATGTCCTCCTGAAATAAAAATGTTACCCTTATAAATAAATCTTAAAACACGTTAACTTTGCCCTTAAATTATGTAAATTAAATCTAAAATCAAGTTAAATTCCATTATACATCAATCCCGGTTTTTCGTAACGCATTACAAGCTTTAATTATATGATTTTTATCCGTTTTTCACATAAAAACCTTCTAACAATATCATCAATGTCCTCTAAATTGGACAAAATCTCGATGAAAAGGGAATGTTTGTAAAAAAACAATTTTCCATCATAAAAAGAGGTTCTCAGGCTAAAAAACGAATTGTCGATCGTAAAAAAAGGTTTAGCTGTTAGGACAACATCGCTTTTCGGGAGCGGAAGAGATTTTTAGGCCACAATAAACGGATTTTCGATCGCCGAAAAGGTTTTTTAGGCTAAAAAGTGCTATTCGATCATAAAAAAAAAGACTTTTTAGGGTTTTTACACACCATAAAATAGGAAAACCTAGGTTAAGTATAATATCCTACCCGCAAAATAGCGCATATCAATTATTTAGATACTAAAACCAAGCTTCCCGACTAAAAATATGCGAAAAATCATATTTTCCACGTTTAGCGCCTAAAAATCACCTCAAAGTACGGCTTGAACCGGAGCAGCTGCTGCACATTGCCATAATCGGTGATGCCGGCCGGCCAATCGTGCGTGACGACGCAGTCGATGCAGTTCTTCGCGGCCTCCCCGTCTCGAGCGCGCAGTTGTCGTAGCCGGAACACTTCGAGGGCCCTCACATGGTAGGCAGAGATTTCGGAGCCTAGAAAAAAACGTAAACAACAAACAAAACTTAATTTACCTCGGGCAAAAGGCGGGCGCTCGTAGTGGCCCTTCTGGTAGTCCTGGGCCTTGTAGATGCCCGACAGGCCGGCGATGCGCAGTCCGGCAAACTTGACGACGGAGGCGAAGCCCATGTAGTAGACGTTCGGGGCCACCCAGCCGCCGTTGGGCAGCTCGAGGAGGAAGCCTGAAAAGGTACAAATATCCCGAAAACTGTTTACGGATCGAATTTTGCTAAAACAAAAACTTCCTATGCTCTTTTTTACAAACTAAAAATGTAAAAAACTACAATTTTTCATTAAAACGCTAAAATACACAAATTTTGACGAGAATTTTCAATTCCAACCTTTTTCTAAAGCCGTTTTTCAAATTTTGCGAAAAAATAACGATATTTCGATTAAAACGGTCAAAATTTCATAGTTTCAAACGTTTTGTAATAGTTTCCGATTTAAAAAATGCCAAACTTTTTGTAAAATGTACCCGATGCCTCGTGGTTGCCGCCGACGAAGAGCGTGAGGATCGGGGCCGTCTCCTCGCCCGAGTAGTACTTGTAGAAGCTCTGCAGGCTCCGGAAGTTGGGCTTCACGTGCATGTGGTGGAGGTCGCCGTGGTTGCGCACCGACTGAAAGTCGCCTGCGCACACCACCAGGTCGACCTGAAAAAGAATAATATAGATAGAAACATACAAATAATATAGAAAACAATTAAAGGTCCAAGCAAAATAAATTTACCTTGATCCCGTCGCGCTTCTCGATCTCGGCGATGGTCTTGTAGACCTTCTCGATCTCGCCGTGCACGCAGCCCGTCACCGCCACCTTCAGCGTCTTTTTCGTGGGCGCGGCTGTCGGTGGGGCGGGTGAGGCGGCTCCAGCCAGCCCGGCATCTGGTGCTTCGGGTCTTGGCGAGCTCATCTGCAAAGAATCGATTGATGTAAGTCGGAAACATCACAGCAGAGAATGAGGAGAACAATAACCGTCTATAATGCTCTATTTAGCGTGCAAAAATCTAAAAACAGTCGAAGTAAGGATCCGCTGTTCTGAAACTTGATTTTCAAAAGGCATGCGTCCGGTTCCGCAGCCACACTATACACCCTTGTACCGAATGCGCAAATAAGGGTTCATCACCCGTCGTTATCTTTGTAATTCCTAATTTTGTTAATTTAAAACCGTTTTAGACACTGTTTTTTTAAATAAATTCGGGTTCTTTGGCATCGGTCGGTTTGGTCCAATTTTTTTATTCTAAAGATCCAATTTTTCTAATATATGTGGGAAGTGTTTCTCAACTGCTTTTTACTGTTCCAAAACGTAAAAACCTTGAAATTTTTTCTGAACGATTCAAGGATATAGATTTTTCGATAAAAATGGCCGATTTTCGACCGAAATTTCCATTGAAAAATTTTCCGAAGTTTTTATTGTTATTCCCTTAAAAACTATTTAAATATTGCTAAAAACTATTACGTTACTAGGCATTTCTGCGCTTATAGGAAAAGGTTGGTGCCCCCTTCGATAATGCAAAAGAACCAAAACTCGAGCTTTTGAAGAGTTAAAGGAGTGAAAAGCGTCGCTTTCGCCGATTTCTGGCAATCACGGGCTTAGCGAAATCGGAATTATCACATGAAAGTGTTTACGCAGAAGAATTATTTATTCTATGGGGACGAAGGGCGGATTTACACGAGGAAAGTGTAAACTGCGATTCCAGTTTCTTGGCTGCGGTGGCTCGGGATCTTCGGGCAGTTCGCAATGAGTAAAAATCGGATCGATCGAGAACCAGCAGCCGTAGAACGGATTTATGCGGCAGTGCGGGGCGTATTATCTGATTAAGATTACGATTATTATAAGTGTGTACGCAGAAAAATTATTTATTCTCTTAGTAACCTTGGGTCGCGGTCGTCGATGACAAAGGGTGGGTTTACACGAGGTTGGAACAAACTTCTATTCCAGATTCGAGGTTCGGGTGGCTCGGGGTCTTCGGGCAGTTCGCAATGACTAAAAATCGGATCGATCGAGAACCAGCAGCCGTAGAACGGGTTGAGGCGTGGGTGCGGGGCTTGTCCTTGGTCGTATTCATACCCTGTCTCCAACAGAAGGCATGTGAACACTGAAAATTTCGGGGATATTCGCTTATTTTGAGGTGATGTGATACCTCTCGTGGAGTCCAGCCGTTTTTGATAGACGGCGGCTTCCAAGGCTAGGAGAAACCAAAATCCCGGAAAGTTGTCGTTTGTATAGGACTAAACATCCTATCCTATAAGCGAGAAAAGTATGTCTGTTTTCTGTAATGACGATTTCTCGGCCGTGAGGCCGAATTTCGCGCTGATTTTCTGGCATGGAGGCGGAGAAACACATCCTCTTTATACGCATTTTTTTGTTTTTCGAAATTCCGTCATTTAACTATTTTACAAGGAAAATAGTGTAAAACCCTTAACATTTTGACCAAAAAAAGGTTTGTTCAGAGGCTATCTCGATTGCCTGGAGGAGTTAGACCCTGATTTTTGGTGGGTTGATCCATAATGGATATATCTCGATACTACTTTTTGGATTTTCGTTAATTCTTTAAAATAAGGTTTTTATAAGCATTTTTCTAAAAAATCCTTAACAAAATGGCCAAAGTGCCGTGGTGTCCGGGCCATAACTCGAAGCCCGGATGGAATTTCGGGCTGTAATTTCGGGCACTTATGTAATCGATAGTGGGGATCATGCGCATCTTATTATTTTGACAAATTTTTGGCAGTTTCAGACCAAAAAAGGCGAATTTTGTAAAGTGACCAAAAGGCACCCCTCTCAGCTCTCACTTCTTTACCGCTGCCCGGGGCGGACCCGCCCCCAGGACAGAAGAGGCCTTTGCCGCCCTGTCCCCATCTGTCCTGCAGTGTAGTGGATTGGGGTGGGGTCTGCCACGCGGATGCTCATGGGTTCGGATCCTCGGCCAATTCAACTTTTTGCTTTTTGGTAGTTCAGCAACAAAACTTATTTTTAGGCTCACGTTGTGCGAGGTTTAGGCCTGGATCTCGCTCTAGCGCCGCAGGCCAAAGAAAAGGTCCTTGACCCAGGCTCTCGCGCCGCAGGCCACGGATGGGTCCTGGACGCAGGCTCTCGCGCCGCAGGCCAAGGATGGGTCCTGGACCCAGGCTCTCACGCCGCAGGCCAGATCCCAGGAGGGAAAAAACAGTAACTAGCGCCGCAGGCTCAAGGATTCTAGCGCAACGCTGGCTCTTGCGCCGCAGGCCAAAGAATGGCTCCTTGACTCAGGTTCATGCGCCGAAGGCTAAAAAAGAAGGTATTTAAATTCATGGTTCCTGAACGGGGTCCAGTGGAAAAGGGCCGCGAAGCGGTCTTTTTCCACTGGTAGGATAATAAGAAGAAAAATGCTCGGCTTTAGCATTATCCTGAGCTTCGAAATCCCGACAGCAAGGAACCCCAGATTTTAAAGCAATAAAACGGACCACGGTAAAACAACCGGGTGAAATTTTGGTGGGGAAAAATCGACCATTTTTTATCAAAAAATCTCTATTTTTTTCTATTTTATCTCTATTTTTAGTTAACAAAATGGGGTCCTAGAAAAAAAAATGTCCCCCTCCCCCCGATAAAGCGAAAGAAGCGAGAAATGGGGGTTCCGAAATGTACTCACCCAGAGTTTCCCGGACTGACTATCCGGACCGCGGTCAAAAAATACTTGCAATAACCGCGAGAAGACGATTGTACGCGCTCTGCCATTCAATTCAACGAATCCGGGCAGCGTCGAACGGATGTAATCCTGTAAATTACTTTTAACTACTACGAAAGTAAAACGAAATTTTGTTGTAAAGTGTTATGCTATATATTTTTTATACAAAAAGTAAAAGAACAAAGAAAAACGATCGATCACATTTTAAAATTGCGATTTTCGATATTTAAATAAATAAGGCCGCGCTTCCTTTGCTACGAAGTAATGACCATACACCGGAAGTGGAGGAAATTATATAAAGGCAGAGGAGCGTGCGCTTTTTCGTTTTATTTCAATGGTATTTGGGAAGGACTATCAAAGATCAAGCTGTCGAGCGAAAAAACCAGGGAGGACCAGGAATTTCGGAACCCCCATTCACTCAGGGTCGAAAAACCGCGAATCGAGGAAACCTGAAGCTGCACAGCTGGCGAATCATCGACACGCATGAACAGCTCATAGCCATTCGAATGGATGGCGACCTTCGGAAAAGGATGTCGACTGGGTAGCCCCTCTTCAAGGAACTTCTAAATTTGCTTGCGGTGGTGTAGGGGGCAGGAACAGAAATAAGGTAGCCTGCGCTGCGTCCACTTACCTTGCAAAGATACGAAATTGAGCACCACGGTGCACCCGTGTGGCGATCGTCATATCCTGGAACTTGCAACGCTATCCATTAGTAAATAGTAAAAAGGGGCGCAAAGTTCGTAGGTTCAGAACGCGGGGACGGAAGTTGCAGGAAGCCCCCTAAACATACCACCATGAAAGGCCCAGTTAGGGAAACATTCGCTGAATAACTCGAGTATTTGAGTGTTTTGTTGCTTCCAGTATTTGATGTTAAAGTCGCAAATATCGGCGCATATCCGCGGTGCATGCATCTAAATAGAATCTAGCACTTCAAAAAATATTGACAAACCATGGGATGGTGGCCTATTTGATCACGCTCGCCTGCGGGAAGAGACAGCGGCTAAAGCAGTTTTTCGAAAAATCTATCTTCGACGCGATTTTACAAATTCGTAATGATAATGCATAATAGTTTCGAGCCAGCAATACGAACCAATCGAATGTAGAGGCTTTTCGTGGGTTGTACGTGCCATTGCTGAACGGCCGCTGGTAGTTGCATTCCTTCGCGTGAGGACCATTTTGTGTCCACCCACAGGGATCGACATCCAACGACGAGCTGTGGCAGGGACAACAGTTGCAACAAGTTTGGTTGTTAGCCCAGCTTCTTTAAAGGGGCCCCAAAGTGCCAGGAATTTAGTGAATTGGAATTGGAAACCAGAGAACCGGTGCCCTGTCCGTCCAAGGCTTTTGCACGTCAAGAGAGCGTTCAGCGAGTGAATTTAAAATTCCAAGTGGTCACCTCCAAAATCACGTTCTCGGCTGTTTCTGGGCCAGATTGCTAAACCGATTTACAATTTAATGAGGTTTTCAGTGAGCTCCGAATCTGTGAATTCTAGCGTTTGCACATAGAAATCGAGCAAAGACAGACAGTTTCGCGCAAAAGGAAAGAGGGCTCTCGGGTCCCCGTCGCAGCTGGCATTTTGCGTAATCGAATAGCCCTGCCAAAAGGGCTTTGATTCGGCACTTCGGTGCCCCTTGAAAGAGTCATGAAGTCAAAATCTGAGACGCCCTGTACGGGCAATCCTCACCGCCTCCAACGTCAAGTCAAACGCGCGTGGTTCCAGTCGGGCCACCATCTTCACGGCCGCGGCTCCTAGGCGGTAGTGGTCGCTGATTGAGCGATTGATGCTATGCTAAATAAATATGTGTGTTCTTTTTGAAAGTTTGAATAGCTGACAATGGTATAATGTTTTTGGTAGGACTAGGCTAGCAAGCGAATCTTGTCGTTGTATTCCTTTGTGTAATACTCATGGATAAACGAACCGGCAAACCGTGACCCCGTCTCACAAGAGTGTGTGTCAGCGCAGAAACGGTAATTTCCAAGCGCATCGGATAACGAATAGGCGATAGCAATTTATGCAAAAATGCATGGCTTCCGCCACACAGGTGAGGATAGTAGCTGCAGCTGAAAATTGAATTATATCAGGCGTTGCGCTTCTGGAGAAGATTGGGTCTCATAGTTTACTAGGGATCTCAGAACCATTGCAACAAACTTACTTTTTATATATTGGATGATGTATTGTTTCGGGGCTGATCAGTAAAACCTCCATGTCGTCAATTTCCACGGTGATCAAACTGCGCCTCGCACCAACCTATTTAACAAAACACAGATATGTTCTTCAAAAATAACTCTCTACCACTCTCTGTCCATGATGTCCCCGGCCTACCAGGCCCTCATCTGGGGTGAAGACCGAATAAGCGAGCCGGCGTATCTTCTTTGGTAAGGGACCGCACTTGCTGATGGTTTGTCTAAACGCTAGTGCATGCAAGTGCCGGATATATATAGTTTCTGGTACACATAGGATAACGGGGGGGGGGGAAAAATAACGGGGGGGGCACTCAAACTTTTTATATGATAAAAGTATTTTTAAATATGCTTTTTTCGGGCTGTAAAAAAAACTCTTAGTATATTTTTCGGTCCTCTATCGAATGGCATTTTCAAAATATCGAAAATATTCAAAACGCCGAAAATTTTTTTCCCCCCTGTTATCCTATGTGCTGCCCATAGTTTTCAAAAATAGTTTTTAGGCTATAAAACTTTTATAATACATTTTTTCGCGTTGTCAAAAAAAAACTCTTAGTATATTTTTTGATGTTCTATCGATTCGCGTTTTCAAAATATCGAAAATCTCAAAAATTTGACTTCCCCCCCCCCGTTATCCTAAGTGCTGCCCATAGATTTTCCTCAATTTTTGTTTATCCAATAAAAAATTTATATTACATTATTACGGGCTGAAATTAATTCTCTTAGTATATTTTTCGACGCTCTATCGAATGGCACTCGCAAAATCCCTCAGTAATTGCAAATTTCATAATAATGAGTGCCCCCCGTTATTTTATTCCCCCCCCCCCCGTTATCCTATGTGTACCTAGTTTCTTATATATGAATCCATATGCCACCCTTTGTTTTAAAGAGACCAACCTGCACGACCGGTTTGCCTTCAGAAGCTGCAGCGAGCTACTTGGCGGCAGTTGGCGAAAAACATGCAAGCGCTGATCATTTGACAACCCCGGAAAGTTGAATGGATCGATGATGCGGAAATGGTACGGCATTTGCGATGAAGAGCGTCACGTTGATGTCAATGTTATAAGGCGAGAACAGATACGGCAGCCACTGACCCCATCGATTGGCGCCAAATGCCGATCAATGGGTCAATCGATAAGATCCACAGTAGGTTGAGGAAATTGTTACCCTTTCAGGAGCAAGCAGCAACTTTCTCTAATGAGTGGTTCATTAATTTAGCCAACAAAAATCGCATATTAGGCAAGAAAAGTTTTTTTTGATGAATTTCGGTTCCCGTTCGTTCGAAGACAACATTTTTCTACCCCATGATTCGGTCTAACTTCCTCCAAAAGGTGTTTTACAGGATATTTATCTGGATAAAAAAGCACTCATTTTAGACAAATTTACTCAAAACTTTTGAGTTCGGCATTCTCGGCAAATTTAGGAAACAGATTCGGAACCAAGGAAACATATTTCGAGCCTATGCGAATTCACGCAGTTCGTGAGACTTACTTAGTTAGAGGGAGCTAAATAATGATTCTTTGGATCAGGGGGTAAAGGGTGGATTTACACGAGGGAAGTTCAAACTTCGATTCCATTTTCTGGTCTCAGGCGGTTCAGGGTGTTCGGGCAGTTCGCAATGAGTAAAAATCGGATCGATCGAGAACCAGCAGGCGTAGAACGGGTTGATGCGGCAGTGCGGAGCTTGCACTTCGTCGTATTCATAACCTAGCTCCAAAAGAAGACAGGTGAACACTGAAAATTTGGGGGATATTCGCTTATTCTGAAGTGATGTGATACCTCTCGTAGCATCTAGCCGTTTTTGATAGACCGCGACTTCGATGGCTGCGAAAAAACAGAAACCCGGAAAGCCGTCGTTGGTGTAGGACTAAAAATAATAAGAATCCGGATTGGAACATAACAATAAACTTCAGCAACAAACACAACAATAAACTTAAAAAGATTGACTTTTAAGAAAAATGACTTTAGGAAATCGAAATTCGGACCCTCGCCCTAGATCTGCATGTTTGACATATGCAATTGTTTTTAAAACCTTAAGAAAGGATATAAATCATCAGTTTCTTTAAAACTTTATGCACGTGCAGTACCCCTAAAGACTTTACGGCTGGGCCCAAACCCCCTCCCGATTTTTTGGAGCCATTTATGTAAAGGTTATTACCGTATTGCCTCTAATATAGCGTATTCACTCTAATATAGCTACTCGGGTTATATTTTTTTAATCATCCCTGGGAACGGGATTGTATTAGGGGGGGGGGGGTATAATAGAGGGGTGGGTTATCTTAGAGGAAATACGGTATTTAATGCACACAAGCACTATTTTTTACACAGGATGTCCCAATAAAAAAACACCCCCTCTAAGTCGACGCAGAAGTACCGGATCGGAATGATAGTTAAACTACAGGGTAGACCTCAACCCCCCTCATTTACCCCCAAGTACCCCCATTTGACCCCCATCGCAACACCCCCCAAAACCCCCGAGGTCCCCAAAAAAAAGGGTCTACTACAGGGTGTCCCAAAAAAACCCCCCTAACCGGCCGCGGACCTGTCGGATTTTTACGATTTAGGTATCTATCGAAAGCTCTCGGAAATCGAGTCCACCACGTCTCTTCGATTTTCATAATTTGGAAATTTTTCCATCAGTTACTAATGTTTTTGCAAAATGGGCCGATTTTCTGATGTTATTCTGACCAGGGGGGTTTTTTACAAAAAACGCAATTTAAGAATTTTTACGCCTTTCCTGGCAACCCAACGACAGCTTTTTGAAAGCCGTTTGCCAAAACACAGCTTGGACAGCGCTTAAACCGTTTAAAGTGCGTTTTGAACAAAAAAGTCTGTCCTTTTGGCATGAAAAATGCTGAAAATCGAGCAAAAAATTCCGACATTTCGCAAATCCGCAAGATGTGCTGGACTCGCCTTTCCGAGAGCTTTCGATAGATACCTAAATCGTAATCGGATAGGTCTGCGGCCGGCTAGGGGGGGAGATTTTTTTTTGGGACACCCTGTATTCGAAAGCCCTTGAAACAGCCAGTTTGCAACAATCTTCAAAACCATGTTTTTATTTAAAGGCTCCACTTTACAACGCATTTAAAAACATTAAATAACGGCCTCTGCATCTAATTAACGGCTACTTCCGGTCATTTTGTATGGAGAAATTGAGGCTGTAGGGAGTAGCCCGCAAGGCACAGCTGGGACTCCCCGAAATAGGAGGGCGGAGCCCGCCCCTGCCTCGAAACGGGCAGGCGAAGGCTCCCCCGAAAATGAGTCTGGTGGGGGACCGAGACCGCTTCGGCGGACTCTCGGTATCCTTCCCAGGCTCACCTCTGATTCTGGATAGAAGCCCTCCTATATCTACCCGGCTGTCCTTCCCGGCCCGACAATAACAGGTCCGTATATTTTATATTTCGCAGACGCCGGCTTTGCCGGTCGATAAAAGGACCTCTTGCCTCGTTAAAAGTCGCCCCTGAGATCTGCAAACGAGTACCCATACGAACACGCCTTTATAAGTCTGCACGCTTTCTAAAGTCAGGATTCAGAGTCCACATTATAGGAGGGGCTGAAACTAGTTGGTTGAGTGGCCTGCTAGGAGAGAAGACAATAGGGTCCACGGGTCCATGCTCGTACTCCCGTAGGCGCGATACGTGGAATATGACAAGGCAAATTAGCTCGTATGCAACCCCGAAAACCGGAAAATGTTACAAAATGGCTTGAAAAATGGTGGGGCAAGACGACTCGACATTTTGCCTTTAGTTGAGGGTTTCCAAGCAGACCCACCCATAGTTTACCGCGCCGACCATTCGGATCGCGATCAAAAAAGACTTGCAGTAACCGTGTGAAGACGATTGTACGCGCCGTACCATTCAGTTCCACGAATCCATGCAGGTTTGAAGCAATGTAATCCTGCAAGGCATCATACTTGGCAGACCCTAGCAAAGCAGTCGAGGTGCTCCCCTTTTAACCGAGGAGGAGGCTGATTTTTATTTTACACTTAGAGCCAACCTACTGTTAATAAATAGTGTGTTTCTAAAAATTTTTTTAATAGTTTTTGATTGATTAAAAGTTAAAAAATGTTTAAAAACGGTGTGCAGACACTACCCCGAAAACAGATGCATCATTTTTTTAGGAACACCGAATGAATGTGCCTAAAAAATTTCGGGGTAGCGACTTTTCGGGGTTTCGGGACCGGACGCCTTAAAAACTGTGACAGATTGAAAATTTTCAATTTTTTCATACATTTTGGACCAAAAATACAAATCCTATCCTATAAGCGAGAAAAGTATGTCTGTTTTCTGTAATGACGATTTCTCGGCCGTGAGGCCGAATTTCGCGCTGATTTTCTGGCATGGAGGCGGAGAAACACATCCTCTTTATACGCATTTTTTTGTTTTTCGAAATTCCGTCATTTAACTATTTTACAAGGAAAATAGTGTAAAACCCTTAACATTTTGACCAAAAAAAGGTTTGTTCAGAGGCTATCTCGATTGCCTGGAGGAGTTAGACCCTGATTTTTGGTGGGTTGATCCATAATGGATATATCTCGATACTACTTTTTGGATTTTCGTTAATTCTTTAAAATAAGGTTTTTATAAGCATTTTTCTAAAAAATCCTTAACAAAATGGCCAAAGTGCCGTGGTGTCCGGGCCATAACTCGAAGCCCGGATGGAATTTCGGGCTGTAATTTCGGGCACTTATGTAATCGATAGTGGGGATCATGCGCATCTTATTATTTTGACAAATTTTTGGCAGTTTCAGACCAAAAAGGCGAATTTTGTAAAGTGACCAAAAGGCACCCCTCTCAGCTCTCACTTCTTTACCGCTGCCCGGGGCGGACCCGCCCCAGGACAGAAGAGGCCTTTGCCGCCCTGTCCCCATCTGTCCTGCAGTGTAGTGGATTGGGGTGGGGTCTGCCACGCGGATGCTCATGGGTTCGGATCCTCGGCCAATTCAACTTTTTGCTTTTTGGTAGTTCAGCAACAAAACTTATTTTTAGGCTCACGTTGTGCGAGGTTTAGGCCTGGATCTCGCTCTAGCGCCGCAGGCCAAAGAAAAGGTCCTTGACCCAGGCTCTCGCGCCGCAGGCCACGGATGGGTCCTGGACGCAGGCTCTCGCGCCGCAGGCCAAGGATGGGTCCTGGACCCAGGCTCTCACGCCGCAGGCCAGATCCCAGGAGGGAAAAAACAGTAACTAGCGCCGCAGGCTCAAGGATTCTAGCGCAACGCTGGCTCTTGCGCCGCAGGCCAAAGAATGGCTCCTTGACTCAGGTTCATGCGCCGAAGGCTAAAAAAGAAGGTATTTAAATTCATGGTTCCTGAACGGGGTCCAGTGGAAAAGGGCCGCGAAGCGGTCTTTTTCCACTGGTTTTCGAATATTTGTTTAATTTGTTTGTAAGTTTTGTATATCTAAAAACTATATAGAATATGGCTTAGATGTAGCTACGAGGTCGCACGGTAGTATTGCAGCACGCCGTAGATTAGGATTATTGCACGCTTAAAAATTGGCTTACCTGAAGCTGTGGCACTGGTGAGCCATCGACATGCATGAAATCCCCATTCGAATGGATGGCGACCTTCGGGAAAGGATGTCGGCTGGGTAGCCCCTCATTTAGGAACTGCTGAATTGTTTACGGTGATTGCAGATGGGTGAAATTAATGTAAGGGCGACGGTGATTTGGGATTTAGAATAGCAACAGGCTTAGGCTCGACTTTACAACGCTGTCGGTTAGTTAAAGGGCTAGTTCAACTTTTAGAGCTTGGGCTGGTACCTTGGGCAACTATGGACGTAGGCACAGTGCGCCCCAACAGTCCCCCATTACGACAACTATTAGAGATCGGGGAAATGAGAGAGGCGCAGACACAAAAACGCAGAGAGGGTTCGACTCCTGGCCGCGCAAAATTCTTTTGTTTTATTGGCTGAACTAGCCCTTTAAAATCGATTAAAGGGGATAGGGATAGAAGCGATGCAGGGTGTCCCAATCTAAAAAAAAACCACTCCCTAACTCAACGCACAAGTATTGGATCGGAATCATAGTTTCAGGATCCGTAAACCCTTCAACTGTCGAGTTTGCACTCTTCTTTAAAAAATTGTTTTATTAAAGGCGCCACTTTACAACGCATTTAAAAACATTAAATAACGGCCTCTGCATCTAATTAACGGCTACTTCCGGTCATTTTGTATGGAGAAATTGAGGCAAATTAGCTCGTATGCAACCCCGAAAAACCGGAAATTTTACTAAATGGCTTGTAAAATGGTGCAGGTAAATAAAAACATGGTTTTGAGGATTGTTGCAGTCGCCGTTTCAAGGGCTTTCGAATGGTGTAATTATCACTACGACACGATGCTTCTGCTTCGAGTTAGATTTTTTATTGGGACACCCTGTAGTGCGCTGCACCTACTTACCTTGCAAAGATATGAAATCGAGCACCACGGCGCTCCCGAGGGTCGATCTTGATATTCTGGAAAATCGTTATCGATTAGCAAATTAATATGGATCGATAGCAATGCTCGCTGGTGCAGATATTGGCGCGCAAATGACTTGAGTTTTCCAAAGCGTTCCATGCTCCTTCTAAACAGACCTCCAAGATACTCGTAAGGGAGATGGGCGCTGAATAATTCAAGTATTTGTGTGTTTCGTTGTTTCCAGTATTCGATGTTAAAGTCACAAATATCGACGAATATCCGCGGTGCATGCATCTGAATCGAATCTAGCCTTTCAACAAAAATTTGCATACCATGGAATGGTGACCTATCTGGTCACGGTCCGGGCCTGCGGGAAGATCTGGCGACTAAAATAACTTTTAAAATCCTTCATTCCATTATAATAAAATTTGACGTATAAATCAAAACATAAATACGAGTGGGGCAAGTTGCCATCTCATACCCTTTCAATGCTGTGAAAATCCTTTCCAATCAATCATACCAACCAGTCGTATGAAGAGGCTTCTGGTGGGTTGTACGTGCCATTGCAGAATGGCCACAGGTAGTTTCATCCCATCGCCCAAGGCCCATTTTGTGTCTACCCACAGATCTCGACAGCCAACGACGAGCTGTAGCATCCACAACACCTGTTACAAACTTGTAGGTCTCATGTAGACTGTTCTATTTGTTCATTGCCTCTTTAAGGGGCAATGAAGTCAAAATCTACGACGCCCTGTTGCGCCGATGCTCACCGCCTCCGACGTCAAGTCAAGCGTGCGTGTTCCCGGACGTGCCACCATCTTTACGGCTGCGGCGCCTAGCCGGAAGTGGTCGCTGATGGAACGGTCGATGTTATGCTAAATAAAAATATTTTCGCTATTTGGATTAAATAGCCGGCGCTCTGTTTGGGATCCACGTAGAGATCAAGTTTTTTTTCCCTGGCGGGCTAGGTTGGCCTAATAATAGCATGTTGAGTGTTTTTCTATTATGTTTAGCAAGTGTTAGCTATTTTTGAAGTAGAAAAACCTTTTAAATAATTAGAAACGTGGTTGAAAAAGTCGAAAATTTGGGAATCTTCGTAAATTCGATAGAAACCCTCATTTAAGATATAAATTAAAATTAGCATGCCAATGTGTAGAGTTTATCTGATCGGAAAATGCTAAAAACAGTGTATAGAAGCATCGGTTATAAAAAACTAGGCTTCTCCCGGAGAGCGCCCCTCCTCCGACTCCCAAAGTACCATAGCCGGAGCCGGCAAAATAACAGACAAAAGTACCCATTGTGGCAATGCCAATGCACTGTGACGCCGCCTCATAATAGTGTGTGTTAACTCAGAAACGATAATTTCCAAGCGCATCGGATAACGGATGGATGATAGCAGCCGTTGCAAAAATACATGGCTCCCGCCACACAAGTGAGGAAAGTAGCTGCAGCTGAAAATGGAACTGTTTGTGGGGTTGAGTTATATTTTAACTGTTTAATACGCCGTAATAGAATTCTTTTAACTGTTTCGACAAACTGACTTTTTGTATATTGGGTGATGTATTGTGTCGGGGCTGATCAACACAACTTCAACGTCATCAATTTCCACGGTAATCAAAGTGCGCTTCGCATGAATCTAAACCTTCGCTGACAGAGGCCCTTTAAAGGTACGGGAAAGACGCTTATGGAGATGCGTTCCGGTGAATTTCCGTTGCGTTGCGTGCTGCCTAACCGGAATAATCCTGTGAAATTGCATTGCGACGAAATTCAGCAAAATCCTGAGGTATAACACTATCTCACCACTGTCTGTCGATAAAGCCTGCTTTCCACGGCCTCATCTGGGGTGAAGAGCGAATAAGTGAGCCGACGTATCTTCTTTGGCAAGGGACCGCACTTGACGATAGTTTGCCTAAACGTTGGTTGCATGCCAAGTGTCACCCATAGAAAGGTCGTTTTTGGGTGATATTGGAGTTTTTGAGCGAGGCCTAGCTAAATCGGCAAGAAAAAATTCGGCCCAAGATGTCGCTTTCCAAATCTGCCACCCGTGTACCGTTCACGGTAAAAATTAAATTTTAATAAAAAATTCGTTGGTGCCACGCTGCCGCGCTGGACCAGGCCCGGAGCCTTGGCCTCAACGCGAACTAGCATCCGCACGATATGGTTGGTGGCCAAGTGGATAGTGCAGGCGCCTATCAAACTTTAGCAAAAATGATGCTCAGGATTCGGAACTTTGCGATTGACTGTTTTGTTTTTTGGTTTTTAATGCTATTAAAATCGAATTTGGGATTACAGAGAAAAAAGCAAAAGAATTTCACCCGTAGGCCAAAACGATGAACACCTAGGAAGCAAGCGCACTACCAATCTGCCATGTGGTCATGCCTGGACATAAGCCTGAAGGGAGAGATGTTCAGGCGCACCTGGAGTGCAGAAACTGCGGATTTGACGGAAAATGATGGTTAGATTAATGATTTTCAAATTATTTTTTATCGAATACCGTGCACGGTTAGCAAAATTCCAAAAGGACATCTTGCTAAGAATTTCTTCTCTATCGAACTAGCTAGGTCGCGCTCAAAAACTCCAATATCACCGAAAAACGACTGCTTGTTAGCCTTGAAAAGACCCACCTGCAAGAGCGGTTGACCTTCAGAAGCTGTAGCGAGTTGCTCGGAGCCAGGTGACGAACAACATGCAAGCGCTGATCTTTTGACAACCCCGGAAAGCTGAATGGATCGACGATCCGGAAACGGTACGGCATTTGCGAGGAAGAACGGCTCGTTGGAGTCGGTAGCAAAGGGTAGTAGTGTCTGGGCATAAAAAATGTTGAGCCGCTCTATTGACCCCCTATTGATTGGCGCCAACGGCCGATCGATAGGGGTCAATCGAGGACCTATAGACATCAAGGTCTTGCTGCACTTTCAATACAGGCGCATTAGGTGCTAAAGGGGGCGGGTAGCGAGAATGATTTTTGATTACCAGCCCAACGGAGCTCCAACTACGTTTTTCAGCTGCTAAGCCCATGTAAAAGCTAGGCTGACATACGCCTACGCCTGAAATTAGCTTCATTTCAACCAAGTAAAGGCTCAACCAAGCTAAATTAAAGAGATCTCTAGGCCCTATAGTCTTTTCTGAGCCCTAACAAGGGAAGGTTGTTTGGGTCAGGTGTCAAATCTTTCTGAAAATTGGCCAGTGGATAGAAAATTGAAAACGGAACAAGGTGCGCTAAGTTGTTTTCTGCACAATATCCCTAATTAAAAAGTTAAAAGCATTTTAAGTTTGTGGTCTGAAAAATGAATTCTGCGCAGGTTTTTGCACCAATACCGCACCGTTTCCACATTTTCTTCATGCGTGATTTCTTGACCCTCTCTCGTCTCCGCTCCCCACGTCTCTTCTAGTGCAATCGGTAGTGCGCTTGACTCACAATCTTTCGAAAAAATTTTGGCAAAAGTTCGAGACTAAAACTTTTCTATCTTTTTGCTTTTTGCTTTTTGCTCTTGCAAATTAGGGTTAGTTGGCGTAAAATCCAAAAAGCAAAAAGTTGGACGCATCAAAGACTTGAACTCGATTACAAAAATTTAAAAGTTTTGCACTCTACGGCACTACCTACTGCGCCAAACAGCTTGCCAGTCCGGGCAACGCAAGAGCTTGAAAAGGGGGCAGGCCACAATGAGGACCAGATCAGAATTGTCGGGTCGTTTCGTGCTTTTTTTATGTAACTTCAAAGACCTATAACTTTTTAATTTGGGGTATTGTGCAAAAAATGAGATTAAGAAACTCCACTTTATTTTTGATTTTCTATCCACTGGCAAAGTTTCAAGACGATTTGACACCTGACCCAAACAACCTTCCCTTGTAAGGCAAATTAAGCTAA